TGCTCATGCCTGCTGTAGTGAGGTGGTTCCCCACTGCTTCATGGATGGACAGATATACTGGAATAGGTGCTAAGGCCCAGTCATGGACCACAGAATCACTGGGCAGAGCCCCATGCTTTATTTTATAACCCTTCATACAGCAGGGCTATGTCTACACTAGCGGCTTCTTGCACAAGGGTTCTTGTGCAAGAAGTCTTGCACAAGAAAACATCCACACTGCCATGTGCGAGCTGTGCTTTTGCGCAAGAGTTCCCATGGCAGTGTGGACACACTTTCGCACAAGAAACCCCTATGGCTAAAATGGCCTCTTGCACAAGAAATCCCTGCCAAGCATCCACACTGCCTTCTTGCGCAAGAGAGCTTATGCTCTTTTTTATCACGTGTAACTCTTGCGCAAGGAGCCCTCTCTTACGCCGTACTGTAAATTTCCTAGCGCAAGAGCGGGTGGGCAGTGTGGCTGCTCTGCAGAGTCTTGCGCAAGAACGGCTGTACTTGCGCAAGAAGCCGCGAGTGTAGACCTAGCCCAGCTGAACTGAGGTTTTCAGCGGCTAAAAGTATGTACTGAAGCCACTAGAGCAGTGAGAATTCTTTCAAAGTTGCACTGAAACAGTTATTTGAGAGTCACTTTATTGTGCTACAATCAATGAGCAGATGTCCTACAGGGAGGGAAGTAGGAAATTAAATGAATAAGCTTAAAAAAAAACCTGCCCATAGCCCATCTACACAACACTATTTTGAAATAACTCGTGTTATTTCAAAATAACCGTCCCTGGCTACACAGTCGGCAGTTTTTTCAAAATAATGTTGAAATACTGACAAGCTGGAGGAGGACTTCTTACTCCAACTCATGTAACCCTCATTGTACAAGGAGTAAGGGAAGTTAGGGGAAGAGTGCTCTATTTTGAAAAAAGTGCAATGTAGGTGCTCCCATTTTCAAAATAAGCTATGCCACTGATGTAGCTCAATTTTCATAGCTTATTTCAAGTTAAGCCCTTCTGTGTATATGTACCCTTTCTGTGCCGCTGCAAAATTCCACTTAAGGCAACAGGTGTTTCCATTTACTCTCAGTTAAAATGCAGTGCAAAGGCTTCCTTTTAAAACAAATCTTTATTTAATTTAAAAAAAACCTATTCTAAATCTAAATAATTCCTTTATTTTAAAATCAAGTGGAACGGTAAATGCTGCTAGTAGAATCCCAGGGATGGTGTCGCAGTAGCCCTGGATTGAGCTCTGGGTATAGTCTGAGCACCAATGTAGCCTCAACTCCTGCAGCACTGGCTTCCTTTCCTGCGGTGGAAATGTCACTAGAACCTTAATGTACAGGCTCCAAAGCATGCCCCAGGACTGTGGGAAATTCCAGGTGTCATACCTTCAGCTGAGAGAAATAGACACACTTCCAGAGCTGTGCTTGCAAGGAAGGCAGCACAGTCCCCCACATACTGGTGGTACCTCTTTCAGTGATTCACTGGAACTGGTCCAGCCAGCACAGGTGCAGAGACTCATGCCAGCTGCTTGCCTGCATCTGCCCATCCCACCACCAGCTCTTTCCCCTTCACAATCAGAAGCTTAGTCCAAGTCTTGTGGGCTCTTCAGCCTGCAACCACCATTCTCACAACATACATGGCAGGTCCTTCGAGGCTAGATGTCATCAGAGGGTTGTGAGCCGGATCACCTTGAACTCTGTCAGCAAAGCTACTGTGAGGAAGGCCAAGTAGTAGAGGAGAAGGCAGATACCATACCCTCTGCCCACCTGGAAGCACTGAGCTGGCACTGATATGAAGGAAAACACTAGGCTCAGCCCCAATGCTCCAGCCAGAATCCAGACCAGAAGGCCATCCAGCTCCAGCTGCGAAAGAAAAGGCAGGAGTTAATTATTGGTGCCACATGGTTTCTTCAGGTGCCAGTCCATCAATAGAGTGCATTAGTGCTGGAGGTTTATATTAAGGATGTGAGTGAAAGGTTAACCAGGAAGCATCACTGTTAAGGGTGATGCTTACTGGTTGGTAGGCCCAGGTGCATCAGAGGTTTAACCAGTTAACCAATTACACAGAATTTTACATCCCTAGTTTTATATACCACTGCTTAACCTTGTATCACTTGGAGGCATCTGCCAGAAACAGGTGCCCTTATGACAGCCTCCAAGATCAATTCTAAAAAGTCCAGAATAATCCTTGTCCTCAATGTGGGGCCAACCACTCTACCTGACCCTAAATGTGGGAATGGTCTCACCCTCCTCTTTCAGCTGTCTTCTGCCATTCAGCGATGAGTGTTTACCTCTAGCATACAGATATATAGCTGCTCTGATATGTCCCCACTCACCATCACAAGCTGTAACATATACAGGCATTGGTGAAGCTGTAACATGAACAGGCATTGGTGGTTCAACCAATGTATCTCACTTGTCCAGAGCAGGTAAGTGAAAGCAAGACAAGCCCTCTCCCAGAGCACAGGAGGAGCATGAGGTCAGCAAGAGAGCCCTACCTTTACCACCAGCTGACTGGTTGTCATCTGCAGCAAACAGCCCAGTCCCACTCCTACCAGCATATCTGTGGTCCGGCTCAGGAAAGAAAAGCCCTACAGGAAATGGAACTGGCCCTGGGGACAAAAGGAGTCCCAACACCAGCTGGACCATGGGGTGAGAAATAGGTTGGACCTCTGTAACCTGCCACAGAAGGAAGGAACAGACAGCTGTGGCCTGTCCCCACACATTCACTAGAGAAAAGGCTTATTTTCACCAGCAGCCTACAGTCCAATACCTCTGAATAACTCTGAGACCTGGCTACAAGCCAGCTGCACCTCTGCTCTGAACTGCTACCATGGTGGAGACCCTACACTTATTTCAGATGAACTGAGCAGGAGTAAAAATGGCACCTTTAGTGCTGAGTCAGGCTAACTCCTCCTGGAGTCTTCTGGGCAAATGGGTTCTGAGCCTAAGTTCCCCTGATCAAAGAGTGGGGCTTGCCTCATGGAAGGCTGCAACCAAAAGCAGGTGCTGAATGTGCATCTTTCAGCATAGCTTCGGAAAGTGTATGCAGGTTAGTGCCAGGGACTCCTGAGGTCTAATCCTGCCTCAGCCCTAACTTGCCACATGGATTGAGCCAAGTCAGTCTCTGTAGTCCTGTTTTCCCTTCAGAGCAGTGTAGTTACTGCTGCCTTCCTGGCATGAGCGGTGCAAAGGCTAATGGTCTGAGGCAGAACACCAGAAGTTCAAAGTCCAACTTAGGCTCTGATTTACTGGCTATTTGCAGCTATGTTGGCAGGGATGGCAGGTGGGGGGTTGCCCTAAAAATCAAAGTTAAGCTCATGCAAACCCTGGGAGAGTTGGTGTAAGTTTCCTGGGCACTGCCAAATGCCTCAATCCCCGCAAGCTCCTTCCTAAAGCTAGTCTTCACTCTGGAAACTGGCTTAGTGCATCCAGCCACCCTACCCACAACCAAACCTCTTGTGTGGGCTCACTGCAGCTAGATGAGATTTCTTTGTGTCCCCATGCAGAGCTACAACTCCCCTAGGGGACTAACACGGAGCCTGCAGCTGGATAGCTAGTTGGAAAAGAAAAGAATTATAGACTATTACGTAGAGGAAAACCCCTTAGCACAAGTTTAATAAAACCAATTGTCAAGAGTACTTTTCAAAGGAGGTCTGTATTGTTAGCCCTGTTTTACAGGTGGGAAAATAGAAGGTACAGAATCTTGCCCAAAGTTACCCAGCAGGTCAATGGCAGAGCTGTGAACAGAATCCTGAATTCCTGAGGTCCAGTTCAAAGCTTTACCCACTAGCCCATGTTGCCTGATTTAGCAGTTGCCCAAAGAAGATCTCGCTTGAAAGGATACTGAAGATGATGCCCCCAAAGCAAGCAGAGAAGGCCATGCGAAATAGAAGGTACAGAATCTTGCCCAAAGTTACCCAGCAGGTCAATGGCAGAGCTGTGAACAGAATCCTGAATTCCTGAGGTCCAGTTCAAAGCTTTACCCACTAGCCCATGTTGCCTGATTTAGCAGTTGCCCAAAGAAGATCTCGCTTGAAAGGATACTGAAGATGATGCCCCCAAAGCAAGCAGAGAAGGCCATGCGAGGGTATCCGTGCCGCGCCATGGTGAGGTCTGAGAAAGTGTCTGCAAATGAAGAACAAGGAACATTGTCCACGTGCACCATTGTTGCAGACGGCAGTCTCCAAGCTCGTGAGACGTGACATGAGGAAGGCTCAGTCTCAAGGGAGGCTTCTGCTGAGGTGTCCCCAGGTGGGATATGGATATTTTCATTGTCAAGGAATGGACCCCTCCTCAGACATGTGGTCCCAGCAACACTGCATAGCATACGTTAGCAAAGCCTCTGGGCTTAGATGCAGGTTGCACCAGCAAACTCTGACTCAGGCAGGGTAGACGCACTCTGCTGGCAGTGGAGCCCTAGCACCTCTGTGGAGACAAGCAAAGGACACGGGCTACCAGCCCCTAAGTGATCTGTAACACTGGGACTGCTTCCCACTCGTAACTTTGCTGGAAATGCCACTACCTAGCTACAGCTGGCTGGAACAAAGAGATCAACACAGTGGCAAAGTCCTGGATCTCCCGATATACAGCAGCCTCCGCGCTCTGCAGCATGATCTGTACCCTGGGGAATCGGCTACATGCTGCAGCTGTGGAGATGGGAAGTTCCTACTTTAAATGCAAATGACCCCTCTCCTCTCCACCCTGAAGCCAGGCGGGTGTAGGGTGGGGAGCTGTAGCTGAAGGAGACCTGCTTAATGAAGGGTGCCACGTGTTCAAATCAGCTGTCAACTACTCATGGCGTTAAGAGTGGTAATGGAAGCCACCAATCACTGCCACTGGCAGGCATGAAAGCCAGGCTCGATCAAGCACCTCATCCTGCTGGAGAACAGAGGGAGGTATGGTCTTCATCTGCAGCAGCTGCCAACGTCACTGCTTTTGCTATGACCGCAGCTGACTAGATCCAGACTAAAATTCCTGCCCCTGGCTTCAGGGCCAAGCTGCCAGTCTGCACTGGGAAATCCCCCTCTGCGCTGCATGTGGAGCCACTCACCTCCGATGCTGTTCCCCCAGGCCAGCAGTGTCAGGCCCAGCACAGTGTTGCTCAGCTGGAAAACCACTCCTAAGGTCCGCAGGACATTGACCACCTCCGTGGCAACTGCGTTGATCCACAGGGCGCTGGCTATGAAACCCAGGAAGGCAAACAGCTGCCAGGAGAGACAGGGCAGTACTGTGAGAGAGCACCTCCAGAGCAGCTCTGCCATGCCCTCTTCACGCCAGCACTAGGCAAGAAATGGACCCCTCCCTCTATTGATGGGCAATTCGCAGCTAGCCAGGCCCTGGACCCCAGATTTTCCCCCACAGGCAGCCAGAAGAGGAGCCAGGCCCAGGCACTCGATGACTTGTGGCTCTTCCCAGACATGGGCTGAGTGGAGAGCAGTCGGGGAAGGGTCCCTTCAGCTACAAAACTGAGGAGCAGGGTCCCTGTGGCCATAGAGCTGAAGAGAGGATGGAGAGGGTCTTCCAGCCGCAGAGCTGTATGCCTGGGGTGCTTACACAGTGGTACTTGGGTGGCTCTTCATTCTTTGTAGTGCAGAAGACTGTTGTGGCCAGGAAAGTGCCAATCAGGAGTGTCAGGCCCCAGACTGGGAAGACGTCCTGGATTTTATACAGCCCATCTGCACGGGAGGGAAAGAAACCCTGGTGGGAATTGGCGCAGCCTGGCCCCGCTGGACCAGGTGGGCACCAACCGTCCCTCAGGCCCCGCAATGGTCTCTCCTGAGAGCCCCGGGAAGAAAGCAGAGTCTCAGTCCTCAGTGGCGCTCAAGGCCCCCAAATCTATATGGTCAGGATCCTTCGTGTAAGTTACATTAGCCTATAAGCTTGACTCTGGCCCCCTAGGGGCAACGCTGCTGGTGAGGACTGCCAGAGCACAGTGCACTCTGCACTCGCCCCACTCCCTTCCCAAAACCTCCTCCCCTCCCCAGTGCTGTGATCAGAGCAACTGCACCAAAGTCAAATATACCAGCTTTGCAGCAGCTGAGGATTTCCCCACACACTGAAATTCAGCCACCTCTGGATAGGGGAACAGTGCTGATTAGAAACAAAGCACCACTGTACTGCAGTGGGGACTGCCTGGGGCAGGACAGACTCCTCAACTTGATCTTTTTTGCCCTTGCAGAACAAACGGAGCCTCTGCTTTCCTGGCCACCCCCTACACAATTCTCAGTTCCTGTAGCTCAGAGCTGAGGGGGGTTGTGCAGGACTGTCAGAAGCTGGGACTCAGAAGTATTGTAGCTGACCTTCCCATCTCCTTCCTGCCCACCCTGTCCCCACAACAAGGAAGTGAGCCGAGCAGCCTGAGAATCGGTTGCACAATGCCTAGATTTCCAGCACGATTGTACTCAAGCACCTCAGCCCTCAACTTTCGTGCAGCTGCACTTGCTCCCTTCAATTCCAGCTGCAAAGCCAAGTGAGCTGCACTGCTTACAGGGGTACTACTGGGAGTAAGCAAGGGTTCTTACAGGCTCCAGATTTCAGCGTGAGGATGCAAACCAAGGGGCTGGTGATCAGGTGCAGGCAGTTAAGAGGTCTCTTCCAGTTCTGGTCCTCCTGATCGGGATCCACCACAGGCACTGTGAGCAACATCACAAACTCCACTGGCATCTGGGAAGAGACCGCCCACAAGGAGGCAGCTGACATGAGGCTGGACTTGCAGATGGGCCCAACAGAGCAGCCGACCGCAGCCTTCTGCACGCAGACCCCAGCCTTGCTTAGCCGGACAGTCACAGAACATCCGCTCTCCAAAGCCGAGGTTCATGGGATGCCCCCTCATGTGGCTCCAGCACCGCACGGATGATTCAGTGGCCAATACTTTCAAAGGAAGATCCCGGCCTTACTGACTCGTCCTTGGGGGTGGAGGCTCCCTTTCTGAAAACAGGCCATTTATGGAGATGCCCAACCGTGGATTTGGGCTGCTTCCCTTTAGGCACCCGGGCCTCGCTGTCTGGGTTGGCTACCTCTGCACTTGGCTGTCCCTGTCTGGAAAGCGCTCAGCTGGGAAGAGGTCAGAGGGCTCAGTGCAGTCCTGCGGGACCCAGTCAGACTCCTTTGGAATGGATGTGGGGTAAGGCCTCTGCCTCCAGAGAGAAACTGGTGGAGTGATGGGAGCCTGGGGCCTTTCACTTCTATCCCCAGTTCCTTTCTAGGCCAGCTCCCAGACACTTGTCTCCTGGACCAGCAACCCTCTGCTTGTATCCAGCAGACACAGAACATGCTGCTCAGGGGCTGTATCATAGCAGAGTCCTGACAGCTCGGCCAGCATGCTCAAGCTTCCATCCTTCAAGATGCTGCCTCCTCCCCCGTGGGCTGAGACTGGAAGAAGGTGGGGTGAATTGTCCATATCCTCAGCAATGAGGTTCTGCTTGGTTGGGTGTCCCACATCAGTCCGCACCCCGAACCCAGCCTCCCACCCCACACACTACAGGGCTAAAGAGGGACTGTGACCAAGGCACCTTGAAAATCTTGAAGAGTCTCCAGTAGCAGGATTTCCTCCTCCACTTCCTGTGATCCAGGGGGTTCAGGGACTTGGTCAGGATCTGTAAAGTCCCCTCCTCGGAGGGGAGCAGGGGCCGGTATTCCTCCTCTGTAAGAGAGGCACAAAGGCTGAGTTTCACTTCACAGTTACAGACACCGCATGGGACACCCAGGCCCTCCAAACTGTGCTGGAGCTGCTCCCTGTGTTGTACCCGGGTCTCTGACCCGGCTCCTCTTTTTCCCAAGGTTTGTCAGAGAGCTGTGCACACTCTGCCTCTTTGGGGATGCACATGTAGGTAGGTGCCCCTTCCTCAGCCCAGCTCCAGCTTAGAACCACTATTGTCCTGACATTCAAGGAAAATCCATTCTCCCTATTCACTAAGCCCCAGGCTCTCCAATCACAAGCATGGCCAACCGGAGAGCCACTCATGTCACGTGTGTTCATGGCCCACTCTGCCTACTCATGGTGATGGAGATGGAAAACATGGTACCAGCTAACCAGGAAAAGACCTACCATACTCCCCGCTGTGAACACTTGGTGGGGGGGAATCCTCATCTTCTGGGTTGGACAGATGCTCTGGAGGAGACAAGAGAAGGGGTGCGTTGAAGGATCTCCAGAGTGCAAGTTGTTCATGGGGACCCAACAGGCGTAGCGGGTCCAGAGCATGGAAACTCCCTTACCTGGCTGTCCGGAGCCAGCAGGGGACACCCCATCACCACGCTGCCTCCTATGGATCCAGGTGCAGATCACAACTGTGAGGACGTAGAAGACGTACAGCCCAAGATAGCCTGGTCAAGAGAAGTGGAAATGGCTCAACACTCAGACTCCTGCATCCACACGGCCCCCTGCAGCCACACAATCTCACCTTCCACCTGCCACTCTCTTACACTCATCAAAAGTGCTCCTACTGGTGGTGTTTACTGCCACTGGCTCTCTGCCCCACCAGAGCGGTTTGCAGCAGGCTGGTCACTTACTCAGAGCCCCTGCCAGCGTGATCCTCCTGAAGTACAGCATGGCGAAGGTCAGGAACACGGCCACCATGTAGAAAATGGCATCCCTGAGGAACGGCCTGGAGGCCACCATGAAGGGTCTGAGCAGGGCAATCCCGCCAGCCACCACCGTGGTCACAAACACACCCGCACCTGTGAACACAAACGTGACCAAGTCAGCGCTGCTGCCAGGAGAGTCCCTCTGGTTCCTTGGCACTCAACAGCTGCAAGGGCAGGCGGGCGAGAGAGGGAGAGGGAGAGTGGGGGGGGATAGCTCAGTGGTTTGAGCATTGGCCTGGTAAACCCAGGGTTGTGAGTTCAATCCTTGCAGAGGCCATTTAGGGATTTGGGGCAAAAATTTGTAAGGGATGGTACTTGGTCCTGCTGTGAAGACAGGGGACTGGACTCAATGAGCTTTGAAGTCACTTCCAGTTCTAGGAGATAGGCAATCTCCATTAATGTATTTTATTTATAATTTATTTTAAAATAATTTATGGAACACACCTCACAGCAAGCCCTGGCCATGGCCCAGGGCAAGGGCAAGGGCAAAGTCATAGTCACGTTCCCCACTTCCTCGGGGGCCAGACAAATCGGAGTGAGGAGCTGACTGGCAGTATGAACCTACAGCATCTCCTGCTGGCCAGGTGATGCATCAGCACTCACCGCAGTCCCACAGGAGGCCACCCTGCCTACTGGGGCAAGGGACTGAAAGTTAGGACACATGCCCAAAGCTCTGCAGAGATGTGGGGGTGATGGGATGTTGGTTAGGAAAGCCCCGTGCACAGAGAGGGAGCTCTGAAGTGGTCATCTCTGGAGCAGACACAAGAAAAGTAAAACAGGAAGGAAGCTAAAGCCGAGGCAGAGGAGGGGGATGTGCACGGAGAGGGACTGGCTAGCCTCAGCCGAGCACACTGTGGTCCTTGAAGGGAAGTGTGAACACAACGGGCAAGGGTGCTTCTCCATACCAAAGAGAGCGCCAATAGCCAGCCCAGCAGTCCGGGGGTCAGAGAAGGCCACCACAGCACTGAAGACATCTGGAGCACCGTTCCCAAAGGCCAGGAAGGTGACGCCATGAAGAGGAGAATGTCAAGGAAGTGTGGATGCTGAACCTTTTCCAATCTAGTCCCCTCCCTCTTTCCTACAGGTGCTGCTACTCAAAGTGCAGAAAAGATGGCTCCTGCCATCCAGGCCCCAGGAATTCCCACCGGGGAACACAGCTGAGACAGTCTGGCCCACCCTGTGGCAGATCTCGTTTGCACTCCCCATGCTGTCGCTGGCTTGCTGGGTGACCTCGTTGCCTCAGTTACTCCTTCTGTAAAATAGGGATAATGCTGTGGGCCTGTTTTGGACAACATGGCTCTGGACAGAAGGTGCGACAGTAATTCAGGGGACTAAAGCAGGACACTGCCACTGTGCTCAGAGCTTCATGACTCCTGACCTGGCTTTGTAATAGTGCATGAGAATCTGGAAAGCACCAACCTATCTTTGTTCCCATTGATCTCTGGACAAAACCCCCTCCTGGCTTCAAAGGGAGCAGAGTTAGAGTCAAACCGGCACTGAGGCCATGTGCAAATCCCCTGCCTGGCCCTTATCTCATCCAGAGATCTTTGAGCTCTCTGGATGGTGACTGCTAGCAGGGACTTCACTGCACCTGGACTCACTGGAGATAGACCACCCTCTCCTTGCATCCTCATTCCCCCATCTTCATTCTTACAGACCAGCTGTTGGCAGGTAGATTTTCCCAGGGGCTAGTAGCTGGCTGGTTCAGGTAATGAAGGCCAGTGTTCTAATAGGGTTTCTAACATTCATTTCTAGCCAGTCCTTGGCTTTGGCCAGCTGCCCCCTGCCAACACAGACCTGACATGAATGTCTCCCTTCTCTCCTGACACACCAGAGCCATGGTTGCTCTCCCCTGTTCACCACTCTCCATACACACCCTGCACTTTCACATCCTCAGGAGTTTCCCCTATTTTCTTGCTGTTGCTCTGCATTTGAAATTGGCCCTCACTTGCTTCCTCTCCTCCCTGTTTTTTTCTGCTATCTGTTCTCCCAGCAACCGTGGCCCAGGGTGAATGGCGATCAGAAGGATACTGCTACGTTGTGAGCCAGTCTCAGATTGATGGAGATCGCAGACAAATTGGGGCAAAAGCTAGAAGGAGAGAAGACGCAAGAACATAGAATGAGTCTCAATCGCTGGCGCTACTGAGAGAACAATCCAGTCTGTTTATCAGCTAATGAATACCAAGGCTCAGAGCAGGCAAGGGCTGGTCACCCTGGCTGGAACCAGTGAGGTGTAGACAAGATAATGTGGGAAGGTCCTGCACCTCCCTGCATAGTCTCTCCCCTGCTGCTCCAGTCCTAGCCTCCCTCCACACTCAGCTCTGTCAATGCACCTTAGCCCTGACCTGCAGCTGCTCAGTCTGTTTATCAGCTAATGAATACCAAGGCTCAGAGCAGGCAAGGGCTGGTCACCCTGGCTGGAACCAGTGAGGTGTAGACAAGATAATGTGGGAAGGTCCTGCACCTCCCTGCATAGTCTCTCCCCTGCTGCTCCAGTCCTAGCCTCCCTCCACACTCAGCTCTGTCAATGCACCTTAGCCCTGACCTGCAGCTGCTCAGGATTGCACCCCAGGAGCCACAAGGGTCCTGACAGCCCCTGTCTCCACAGGTGACAGAGAGCAGGAGGCAGGGGCTTCCAGCAGAGTCCAGATCTGAAATCCCTCTCCCAAGTAGACAGAGGTGCACCCCACATGGGGCCCTGCTTGGGGTTACGAGGGTTTGGAGCCACTTCTTGTCTTTAGGGCAGGGGTGGCAGGGAGCAGAATCACCCTGCTGGCCATCTCTAGCCCTGCTTGTACCTGAGCTAGACACAAGGCAATGAAACTGTTCTGAATGCGAGAGGCCTGGCCCATTTTGCCCACACCACCCTTCTCCCCCCAGGGGAAGGAACTGTCCAGAGTGACTACTCACAACTTCTCAGCAGTCACACCGAGGATGAGGAACAGATACAGCAGCCAGAGAACCTGCAGTAAGCCGACAGTGAATTAGCAAAGATCAGAACACAGAGGGAGGGGTAAAGATAAAACACATGGACATCTGGGTAACCCTCTTCCCCCCCAAAAAATAGCAGTGGGAGTAAAAGGGGGCAGAGATAGAAGCTGCTGATGTTTTGTGCTTAGCTGTGCCCAGCCCTGGCCTTTCTCTGCTCCCCTCTGGGCTCTTCACAGGGCCAAGAGGCAGGTCCCACCAAGGGCTGTGCTTCCCTGTGTCTAACACTCGCTGCCACCTTGCCAAGCAGGTGAGTTGTTTTCTCCTTCACATTCCCTCCTTGTGGGGCTTTTCCCCTTTATCTCCTACAGCCACTCCCCTGCGGCAATCCTTACGTATAAGGTCACCACCAGCGGCAACAGTGCGGAGGGGAAGGCACAGAAGACCCCATTGAGGTAATTGAGGAAGCCGCTGTCCATTTGGCAGTCCTGGTTGGTCTGGATGAAGCTGCACCAGTCGGAGCTCTTCTTGTTCCACACTTCCCAGCACTAAACAACAAAGAAGGAGTCAAACCAAGCTTCTGTGCAACTGGAAAGCCAGGGCATAGCAGAAGTTTGCCCTGAAAAGCAGGTTCACTGGTCTTTGCTCACTCTGAGCTGGTCAACAAGTGGCTGCAGGTTGGCATCTCTATCCATGTGCTCTCTATGATGTATAGTCTAGTGGGTAGGCACTGGCTTGCACCTCAAATGTGGGATCTCCTGGCTCTGACACTAACTTGCTGACTGACTTTAGGCAAGTCACTACTCTGTGCCTGAGTTTCCTCCCCTGTAAGGTGGGGATGATGATAGCAGCTTCACCTCAAGTGCTTTAATTTCTAGGCCTGAAAAATGCGATCAAGGCGCTAGATCTTACCACCTGTATTACAGTACTAACTCCAGATTCCAAGCAGCGGGAGGCCTGGCTGTGTCAGGAGCTGCACAGACTCATTGTGAGAAGCATGCCCTGAGCTGAAGAGCACACAATCCCACTCCACAAGAAAAAATGGAAACTGGGGCAAGGAGTAGGGCAGTAACTTCTCCAAGGTTCCCCCGGCAGCTCACTCAGTGATAGAGCGGATAGTGAGACCCAGGTGCCATCACTGTCATACCTGGTGGGGGCCTCAGCTACATTGCTCAACAGGAGACCTGCAATTCTACAGCCATGCTGCTTGTCTCCACACAACCCTCCCAGTGGCCAGCATGTCTGTTGTGTGGTGACAAGGCTCCAACATTTCTCGAATGTTGTCCTGCCCACTTCTCCCATCTTTGTTGATGCTACCTGTGGGGCTGCACCTAGAAGAATCAAAGGGAGATTTACAGATCCCCTTTTTGTCCACTTTGGTCCAGCCCAGCGACAGAACGCAGTGAAGGCAAAGCACACGTAATGCCTGATGCCAGGTTGGCTCAGCAGCCGTGAGGATCAAAGCTGGGACCTCTGAGTCTTACACCACAAGTCTCTCTTTGTATTGCTGTAGTGCTTAGGGCAGAGGACTGCAACTTACGGTTCAGTATGGAACCAAATATGGCTCTCTTGCCATGCCTAAAATGCATGCAACTTCTTAAATTAAAAATTAATTCAAAATGTTTAAAAAAATCCCCACAAGTAGCTTCAATGCGTGCATGAACCTGAATGTGACCAGTTATGATGTAAACGTCAAAGAAATGCGTGAAAAGATGCAGCAGAAGCAGAAGTCCATTAAATAAGTGTGCAAGTACAATCTTTCACTTATGCTATTATCAATCATGTTAAGTTGTATATTTTCAATCGGACAAACAGGCATTCTTATACAGCTCTTTGTTGACCACTTGTTCTGAATTTTGATGTCGTTTGGCTCTTTAGTTTGAAAAGGTCACCGACCCCTGGCCTAGGAGCTGTTCTAATCGTGGACCATGACTCATTTGCGCTAGGTGTTGTACAAACAGAAAGACAGTCCCTGTAGGAGATGTGTCAATCGCTAGATGTACCCCTGAGTGGGTCATACATTATGTCACAGAAAGGAACCAGATCTGTTGGTTGCACCCTTGCCTAAGGAGCTACAGTCAGGTTCCCTGACATTGTATAGCTAAGGTAGAGAATTTTTCACACTTGAATCTAAGCCTTTGTCTCGGTTGTTGAATGTCTTAAATTCTAGCAGTGTGAGCCTCAGTTCATTGCCTGTGCTGCTAACACTTGGGATCATTTCACACCCTCACACTCTCTTACTCTATCCAAAGGACCCACAGGTGAGTGTGACACAGCCAGTGTCTCTGGTGCAGACTTTGGACTGCGCCAGTACGGGACAGGGCATGCTTCCCCTTCTGCACAGCAAGGGAGAGTCAGTGCACAGGGCCTGCTGGAGTGTTTTTGCCTATCTTGGAGCATGCAGCGCCTCTTTGGGACATGAGGAGTGACTGAGAAGGAGCTAGAACTTTGTGACCAGAACTTAGAGCTGCTGGGTTAATAAATCCTCAGTGTAGACAGGATAATCCAGGCAGAGTTGCGTTTAGGGCCTGCATGGAGCCAGAAACTCCATTCCAAAGATAAAGCTGACTGGGGATATTAACCTCGCAGCCTGTTATTCACCATTTAAATACTAAGCCAGCATCTCAGAAACCTCCAGCTGAGCTAGGTGGAGGGTCTGATTGCATTACCACAAGCAGGAGCAGCCTGATCAATCAGAGCCACCCGTCTTATAAGCATGCTGCAGTCCTGACAAGTGAGGGCTGGAATGAAGCCACATGGCCCAGCAGGCCTAAAACTGAGTTGCTAACAGGGCCTGCACCAGCAGTTAAAGGGAACACTTCACTCCTACAATCTCCATCAGTAGATTCCACAGCTTTATCTCCACTTAACTGATGGAGAAACTGACAGCTGGTTTGCACTAGAAAATTAGATTGACCCAGTTACATTGCTGGGGGAGAGGGTGTTGTTTCACACACTGAGTGATGTAGTTAACCCTCAGGTAAGCAGCATTAAGTCAGCAGGAGAATTCTTCCACAGAGCTTGCTATCCCCTCAGGAAGGTGGATTAATCATATCAACTGGCTGGCCCCCTCCCTTCTGCACAGGCAGTGTCTATACTGAAGTCTGCCAGCTGCTGTGTTGCAAATGAACACAAGCCCTGGGAAGAAATGATTTTTCCAAGGTCACTCAGCAAGTCAGAGCCAGGAATAGAACCCAGGTCTCCCATGTCAAAGCCCCTTACCCAGTAGGCTGCAGCACAGTGAGGTTAAGTCTGCAGGGCTGTGATCCCCAGTTTTATCATTTCAAACCACCCTCTTTGGCTTTCCAGAGCAGCATGAATCTTAGTGTCTTTGGTATGAAAATTGAATTGCAGGGGAAGTAGGGAAGTCTAAAAAAGTACACCTAGACTCATCCCTGTCATTTCAAAGGGAAGAACTGCATTGATTTGTTGTCGGTCCTGAGGAGGGAAGGCTGCTACAGTGCATCAGTCTTGAGCTAATGCTAGATGCTAAGGAATTGAATCAAACTGAGCAGCATAAGGTCAGAAGAGATCGAGCTTCTATGAATTTCTGAAATTCCAGAAAGTCTGTGGATACTGCTGGCTTCCTTTCCAAATCTTTCCTTTTCAGAGAGGTTAGGTTGAATACACTGCTTGCTCTCTGCTGAGCTAGGACAGTTTCTCTGGGGATCTTCAAAACCCATCAAGAGGCGTTATCAGTAAAGCCACTGATGAGTTTCCAGCCATGTGCTTAGCCAGCAAGAGAGACCACAAAGTTGCAGTTTGCTGTCACTCAACAGCACAGCTTTCAAAGATGCAGTAATCTTGCAAAGCCAGAGCGTTAGACCTGGAGCTGTGCTTTCCAGTGGCATAAAGCACATGTCTCCGGCCTAGGCCTGGCTTGAGATAAAAAACATTGTTCCCTTTGTTCTGATTACTATCTTCCTTCCACTTAACTCCCTTGAGATTACTGCAATGGGTACTTAACTCGTGCTCATATGACATCCACAAGTGCCACATACATGCCCCATATCGCACATCTACACACTAACTCACTAACTGGGTAATAGCACTTCCCACACAATATCTTAACTGTAAAAACTGTTATAAGAATCATAAAATGCTGACGTTATGGGAGTCTCATTTATTTAAAGTGGGCTGGCTGTATCTTGTGCAACTCAACCCCAGTTTGGACCCTTAATGTTATGCTGGATCCCATTTCAAGTCAATCCAAATACTCCCATGATTTTGGCACATTTGGAAAAATCACATGCTAAACAGAAAGCCAGTTTTAGCTTTAACTACCCACAGTTCTGAAAGAACAGCAGTCACTTTTGCTTACCTGCAGTTACAGGGACTGCATTGACCTACTGACGAAAATCACATGGGAAAGACTGTGGCAAAAGTCTTAGCCTGCCAAACCAGCACAAAGAATTTAGGCTCAGTAAATGACTGCAAATGCTAATCTTGGACAGTACGGGAGACAAACATCCAGCTAAGGGAGTGGCTGAATATAAAGCTCCTATCTGCCCCCCCCCCAGCCAATCTGGGGAATTCACAATTCTTGTGGAGAGGTAGTCCTATGAGCAGGTCAATGATAGGTTACACCAGAGCGTTAATGTGCTGCTGGGAAGCAATTGCATTGCTCCTCAGCCTCTGGCCTCAATCATTTCCTCACCTTAAAGCTCTACTTAATGGTAAAAATCTAACAAATTGGTAAATGGAACTTACCGCTTGGCTGTTCCCTAGGCCTGACATCAACAGGGTGAATCAGCAGGTAGTGCCCCATATCATTGTGAACAAACCAAGCAGGACCCGTATATATGTTAATGAGGCTTTGATCAGAAGCAGCTACTCCTTCCTCCAGATCTCTCTGCAGCTTACCCTTCCCATTCCTCCTATCACTCAGTTTACTACTCACTTCTGTTACTAATACAGATGTAATACATGCAGGGCCTAGTCAGTGTCCTGCCAGCTCCTCCAGGGCAACTTCTGGGTAGGTGCAGGCACAAAAGCTATCCCTCTGGCTGTCTAGGAACCGTAAATGCTGCCCTCTCTTTCACCTAACCTCTCATGGTCTCTACAGTCCAAGCACAGCATGTTAATGCATTAGGATAATAATACTGGGTTGGTGCTTTCCACCTGTACATCTCAGCACTTTCCAGAGAAGGTGAGCCTGCTCAGGTTTGAAAGACGAGGAGGGAAAGGGGGGGGAGACCTGTAACACACACACTCCTATCCTCTGCTGGAGGAATTCCTGCCCCAGGAAGGGACATGGTAGGTACCATGGGGCAGACTGCACAAGAAGTTAATTCTCAGCTGATGCCAGTGTAGCACTGCTGATTTACACCAGCTAAAAATCTGACCCCAAAGACAGTGGAAGCCCCTCTTCTAGTGCTCTGTCAGTCTGAACTATCCCGGCTGTACCCAAAGAGCTCAGATACTTACATCAATAGTCTTGCCCTGGTGGTGGGCATACCGGATGCCATCAGCCTCTCTCCCGATTTCCAGATGGGCAGGCATTTGGCTCCCAACACCTTGTGATCTAGCAACAGCTCTTGAAACAGCAGCACTGCAGCTCAGCATCCAGAGCACACCCAGAATCCAGAAAGCCTTCAGGCCCTCAGACCTCACTGCCATCCTGAGGCTGTGTCAGAGTTCAATGCACCTCCTTCTAACTCTAAAACCAGTCCTTTGAACTATTATGGCACCTCGGCTTCTCCTGGATCAGTATCTCCAACAGTGAGTTCCTTGGGCAGGAGGTCTGTTTGGTAAATTTTGCAAGCTGGGACGTTTCAGCCGTTGATGGAAATAGAGAAGTAATGTGCAGGCCAATTAATGTTTGCACAGGACTGTGCTGCCACAGGACCTAGGATTCTTTTACACACAGATTTCTTGACAGGGATGGCACCTCGGCTTCTCCTGGATCAGTATCTCCAACAGTGAGTTCCTTGGGCAGGAGGTCTGTTTGGTAAATTTTGCAAGCTGGGACGTTTCAGCCGTTGATGGAAATAGAGAAGTAATGTGCAGGCCAATTAATGTTTGCACAGGACTGTGCTGCCACAGGACCTAGGATTCTTTTACACACAGATTTCTTGACAGGGATAAAAAGGCAAATAAACTGTAGCAGGCAAGAGCGAAAGATTAACAAAGACAGGGAAGGGTTAAAAAAAAGGTTACAGCGAAAGTCAAACAGAACTAGCAGAGAAGGCAGAATTTCTTCATCCTCAAATACCACACAATGTCCTTTCTACAGCGTATCGAGAAATGTGGCTGGCTCCTGGATGAAGCACACAGGAACCTTTAAAGCAGCCCACGCCCCATTCTGCTGGACTAGCAGCAATGGGATAGAACGCCTGGCTTCCCGGCGGGGTTCCTTGTCATTCGCACTGGGCAGCACAGTCGTTGTGATCTGGATGCCTGTTTATATACAGGCTGCGAAACGCCTCCGGAAAGCGAGGGGTTAAAAGGAAAATATCTGGTCCTTCCAGCTTGAAAGGTGTCATCAAAGCCTGTGGAATTGTCTTCCTGTCCAGGGCTTGCAAAACGCCTGCATCAGCACGCAGCGAAGTAAACAAGGCTGGCCCGCCCGAGGCTTATGTCAACCATGACCCAGGTCGCCCGGACTCCAGGATAAAACTTGGACATTGCAAAAGCTGAACCTGGCCACCTCTCTGGACCCTGAGCAGCGGCCGAGGGGGGGGGCCCAGGAAAGCTCGGGCACGTTTAATCCAGGCCATAAACTTTACAAATACGAGCGAGCAGTGGGGACCCACCCTAAAGCGTCCCTTTCTGTAGGGAACTTCGCTTCCCCCGGCCGCGGCGGCTCCAAGCACTCGTAGCAGCCAGCTCCAGTACGTTCTTCCAGGGCTCGCCTGCGCGGGGCTGATGCTTGGCCTGCGGCGGCCGGGCTCTGCTCACGTGTATCCAGGCAGCTAATTCCCATAGAGCGAGCAGGCGACCAACCCCTCCGCCGGTCTCAGCCGCTTTCCTCTTCAGACACCGACAAGGGCCAGCCTCTCTTAAAGAGACAAGCTCCTCTTATTTTTCTTAAACAGCCTGAGATTTTCCTCTCGTGTGAGCTCCTGTCCCCTTCCACCTTCGTTTCCCCCTGCCATTAAAACAAATATCAAATCAAAGACTTTAACCAGAAATCTTTGGGGGGAAGTAATGAATCCCCATGTGGGGATCTTTACACCTCCTCCTATTCCTCTTCAAAAAACAATCTCAGCCTGCTTCACTAAGGTGGGTGAACATCAACATCCTCCTTTTCATGGGAAAACTAAGGCACAGGAGAGGACTGTGACATAGCTGGGGGTGACAGCCGAGAGCCCTCTCTGATCTGAGAGCGATAGCCAATCGGCTTTCCCATCCAGTTATAATTGTGAGATTGGAAAAAAAAATCCCATACAAAAATGTTCCTGGACTGAAAATCCCCCCAATTTTATTTAGGTCAGTCCAAAAGTTTTCTTTGTATTTCAACCATGTTTGTGTGTGTTTGTTTGGTTTGGGTTATCGTTGTTGTTGTTTTGTTTTTTGTAATGCTGTGTGTAGTTTACATTTTGAATTGAAGTTGTTTTGAAGTGGAAAACTGAACACTTTCAACTGTAGACAATGTTGAAATGAGGCATTCCAATGAAGTTGAAGCTTTTTATTCTTCAGACATTCTTCAACATGGGACATTTGTCAGATCTGACCACAGCCTGTGGCAAGTATTGGTTTCTGCAAACTGGCTTTGCCCATGACAAAATAGTCACTTGAAAGATTCCCTACCAGCTCCAGCCCTGAGCTAGCAAATGTCCAATAGGACTGCTCCTTTGAGCCATTAAGGCACTTGCAGGTTTGGGGCCTAGCCCACCATACCAGACCGTTTTGTAATGAAACCTTACAGTAGTGAGAACCTGCTCAGAAGGGACTCATATTGAAACTCTTTGTAAGGAAGTGAGACTAAAAACCCAGGGTTGCTTCATTGCACTACAGGGGGCAAAAACTTCAGCTCTGCTCTGACAGAAGTCAAGCAAGGAAGTCCCATTCAGCCTACCCCTACAAATGAGGCAGGAGAGCTTGTTTGCAAGATGACTGAAAGCTGCGTAACCAAGATTGAGCTACATTCAAGCCGTGGAATATCCCAAACTTTATTAGCCCACTCACGGAGGTCCAGGTAGGCCCACTCCACACTATGGCTTTTAACTGCATTCTTGTTGCAGGGACGGACAGTTGTACTGGACCCCCACCATAAAGCCTCATCCTGTGTGTCACAGTCTACGCTACAGTTCCCAAGAGCCCAGGATGAAATAGGACGGAAGAGTTGATGGGTCAAGAGGCGCTAGAAAGACTGCCCAAAAACTCATCCTGCATAGGGCAGGCAGGCAGGATGGCTTAGGTGATGCCAGCTGGCAGCACTTCCGTAAGTCACACCTTTGTCGTGCCAATAAAGTTACTCACTGAAAATTACAGAGCCCTTCTCAGAGTCAGCCCTGGCTCCCCTGTTGCTGACCTCCCTATTGTGCCGTGGAGCTACAGACACTGTTCTCCTTTGAGCCCAGCCTCCTGATCTCCGCAGTGCTTCGGCATGCAGAATTTCCACTTGGCAGGATTTGCTCTGTTTAAGGGCTCTCTGCTTCTGCTGCCTCTCTGAGGGTGGGGCTGTGAATGTGCTACCATGGGATTCTTTCTCACCAGGATAGCCTGTCTGGACAACAGAGGGGGGAAGGGGCTGTGATTAGTCACTGCTGTCGCCACCTCACTAATTTATGCCTCTGGCTATGCCTCTCCCCTCCTGTCACACAATTCCCTAGTTTTCACAGGTCTGGGGGCCAATGAAAAAGTCTGGAATTACTCCAGATAAAATACAGTAAAATCTCCTGGGGCTGCAGCTCCTCACTTCTTCCTGACTCCAAGTCTGGATTGGGCATCCCATTCCTGTGCCCCCCAATGGCAGTAAAATGCTAAATTATAAACCCCCAGCCCCAGACTCTGCTGTGATCCCTAACCTAAACAGTTGCCCAGAGCAGGGATTCCAAATGCATTAGGTATACACCAGTGCATGCAAGCAGTGGGCAATATATACTGCACAAGCTTAATCAGCAGGCATAATTACTACGAACAGGCATGTAAATCAAATCATTTCACAGCACTGATCAATTATACACCAATTTGCAAGCTACATAGGAATACAGGACTGGAAGAGGCTTCTCTAGGTCATCAAATCCAGTCTCCCACTAGCAGCACATAGGTAGCCCCATCTTGTGCTCAGTCTTGATAACTGCATGTGCAGCTAAGGCCCATCTCTGCAGACACATTCTGCATCTGCCATCCCATGCCTTCTGTGACCGCATGTCCATTAAGACTCAGGAGGACAGAAAAACCCTGCTCTAGGAAAGATGCTATGAGCTACAGGATAGCCCTGGGTGGGGTGTAGCTCACACAATCAGCAGCCAGGCCCACCTGCCCTCCATCCAGGCTCTACTCCAGCAGGGCCTGCAGAATGGATCTGGCAAGGAGTGGAGTTGGGGGCTTGTCTGGGGCACCAGAGGGGCCAGGGGAGCGGGGCAAGTGCCCTCACTGCTGGTAGCACAGGGTGGGTGGAACTGGGCAAGTCCCTGGACCCTGACCTCACTCCCCTGCTGGAGACAAGATGGGAGGAGAAAAAGAAAGCCCGGACCCCACTCCGCAGCATGATAAGCCCTAAACTCCCTCCTCAGCAGGAGGGCCCAGTGGGCAGAGATGGGCAAGCCCTGCACTCCCAGCATGGGACAGAGCTGGTGGGGGGCACAGGGAGTAAATTTTTATGGGGACTACTGGTCAGAGCTACAGGAGCTATCCCTCCTCTTCCCCCAGAGCTGGCCAGAGGGTGAGGAGAGACATGCTACCCAAAGTTACGCATCCACCCGAAGTCTGGGCCTATCCCCCATGTCCCATTCGGCTGTGCCATTATGTGAGCGCAGACTCAGAAAACAGTCGCAACAGCAAGAGAGGGTGGTGGTCCCCGGAGTTAGCAGTGGGATGGAATATTGTCACAGTTTGAGATGAGGAGCCCTGTACTGCAGGATAGGGGCAGGGCTCCCCAGCGTGGCGATCCGTATGTGACCTACAGTGCTGCTATGCTGGATTTTGCATGTGGAACACTCAGGCTTATTTTGGATTATTTTGGGCTACTGACCTGAGAGATAGCTCTGAAAAAGTCTATGCTCTTATGAATCAAGGCAGATGGACATACCCAGACCAGGAGGAAGCATGTTCTAGTAATTACAGCACAGGAGAGAGAGTCAGGGCACCTCCGTATGTGACCTACAGTGCTGCTATGCTGGATTTTGCATGTGGAACACTCAGGCTTATTTTGGATTATTTTGGGCTACTGACCTGAGAGATAGCTCTGAAAAAGTCTATGCTCTTATGAATCAAGGCAGATGGACATACCCAGACCAGGAGGAAGCATGTTCTAGTAATTACAGCACAGGAGAGAGAGTCAGGGCACCTGGGGATCCCTGAAGAGACCAGTGCAAAGGGAGAGCCTGACCAAAATACCTCTGGCCACAAGGCCTGGGGCCTGGCAAAATGCCACGCTGCGTGTTTGAAAATCTGACTGTGTGTGGATGGGCTGTCTGACTCCAGACAGACAATGTCACCATTGCTAAACTGTAGCAACATCCTAACAGCTCAGGTTGGGGAGGGGGGAAAACAGGACAGGGGTGCCAAGTTCAGCAGTGCAAATCACAGCTTAGAGAGAGACTATGCCTGTCTGCGTGTGAGGTTTCTATCAGTGTGACTCTGTAAATGGGGCGCTCCCTGGCTAATTGTGTGAGCCAGTCTCCGAGTGTCACAGCTCTTTGGCTGTCACACAGCTAGCCCTCCAAAGGCCACTCCCTCCTGAAACCAGTACAGCAGCATTTTCCTGCCACCCAACTTCAGCCCATGTTCTGCTCTTTTGACTTCCCCAGTAGTGCTGGGTTTGCAAACCTCAGGGGTGCTGAACTGAGCCTCCATGACAGTCATATGCAGGAGACACACATCTGGTGCAGCCACTGGATGGGGGCCTCTATCGATTGGTTAAACTCACACTAGGGCTCCCCTCAACCCAACATGTTTCTTCCTTCAGGACAGTACATAGTAACTATGAATTACTGT